CCCCCCCCCCCCCCCCCCCCCGACGACTGATGTCTTTAATTGATGGCCCCTCGAGACTACTAATAAAAATAAATTAACTTACATTGGTTATTTTTAGACATACATACTATTCTAAAATAGTATAATACAGTTGTATATTATAGAACAATGACATTACTAAATACTATTTAAAATAGTGCTAAAAATAGTAAATACTACATTCTATAGACTATAGAAGACAAGACTATAATTTATAATTAATTATATTTTAAAATTTAAACCATTTTTTTCTATGGCATGGGAGGTGTAATTCAAAAGCATATTATTTTGATAACTTGATTTATAAGAATTTGTTAAGAAAAATAAAATATACTTAATATTGTGCAGAAAATAAATTGCATTTTTATTTTATCAGTATCGGCTACGCCAGGAAGTTGAAGTCCAAGAGTGTCCCTGTTGTCGATAATAGGTTGTGCATTTTTTCTTTGGTCTTTCTTTACAACCTTTTAAATCTTCCACTAACGCTTTTGCTTTAACATAATATTATAAGGATAAAATTGTATTGTTCTTAATCTTTACAATGGTGTATTATTTGAGGTAAAAACTGTGTTAAGTAGTTGTTTTAAGGTCTGTTTTCCCACTTTCCATCTACAAATAAATAAACGGTTTATTTACCGTAGTTAGGCAGTTCAAGCAGTGTAATTCGGAATTTCAGAGCATAAAAATATCGCGATTGTTACTTTTTTTAAAAAGTTACAAAGAAAGCAAAACACAAAGGCCTCAACTCTCTAAAGTAGTTTCTACTATATTATGGTATTATAAAATATTGTTGCTCGTCATGCAATAAATTGATTGTAGTACCGTTAATAGTTTATAAAAATAATTATAAAAGAAAAATGCGTATATTTATATTACCATGTCTATGTATAAAATTAAACATTGAAGATTGAAGAGCTATATTTTGTCGTCAATTTTGAAAAAAAAACAACATATTTTTAACCAAGTGAAAAGTTGCTAACACACATCCAGCAAGCCGGAATAAAATAATGTTTTCAAAACTATAAATACCATTTTACTTGACATAACAACATTACTTCCAGAAATGAAAGCTACTTTTAACAAACATTTTTTGTATATTTAATTAATGTAGGCCTGCTAGTGCTAGTGTCTAGTAGTACCAGTTTTTTATTATTAGTGGGCCATGGCTACATAAAAATTTATAAATTATTAAATATACAATACCAATTGATTTACAATCAATGTAAGTTTCAAGTGCAATGACAATATAAACAATACGATTATGAAAGAAACAATTTTTCAAAAATTTTTGTCAAATAAAATTTATTGTTACATTTAATTATTAATATTCAATCACCACTTAATTAACTATTAACAATTAACTGAATCAATTCTGAACTTCATTATAATAATCAAATTAAAAAAGATGCATTTTCCTACTGCTTTCACTGAGGAAGAAGAAATACTTAAGCAGACATTGGCAAAGCTGAAAAAAAAGGTAGGCCATTTCTGAATTTAACTTATTTGTTTATTATCAACTTGGGACTTGGTACTTAACAATTAGGCATACTCTGCATGCTATATAGGCATACATAACAGTACTTTTAGATTATGCATCTTCAGTCTGGGACCCATTTACCCAGAAGAGCGTTGACAGGTTGGAAGCGGTCTAGCGACGAGCAGCACGCTTTGTCCTAAACCGCTACAGGAATACCTCTAGTGTTGGCAGCATGCTGGAAACACTAGGCTGGTCACTATTGGAGGAACAACGACGACAATCCAGGCTCTCCATGATGTACAAGATAAATAATGGGCTGGTCCACTGTTCCAGTATTAAACACTAGGCGACAACACTAGACACATTTGTGTCTATTGCCTCAAGCTTTAAAACCCCTAGTGCATGATTCCCTCACAAAGTGGCACTGGAAATCAGTGAAATTTTCTCATCAACACCAGGAACAGAAACATTGCAAATCCCATCTACATGCATAGGAGCCAAAATGATCAATAAATTGATCGTGGGCCTTTAAGATATAGAAGAAGAAGAGTACTTATATTTAATACATAATGTTATTATATGTAATACATAATTATAACACTTCCGCTGGGACTGGAAATTTTAATTTACTGTTACACTGTTACTGTTATTTTTATGAACTACCTACCGACAGTACCAACCACTTCTGCCAGCTTACCACATTAAATTTAGATGTTTTTTATATCTTCTTTTCACTACAAATATTTCCAAGTACCATGTATTTATTACCGGTATAGCAAGAACACATCAAACAAATAATTAAATCATTCATTTTTTGTGGGGCATGGACATGGACTTTTCTTTATTATTCAGAAAAAACAACTTCAATATTTAAAGTCAGCAGCACTGAGCCAGGAGAAAGAAACTTCCCTCAACAAGACAGCAAACAAACCAGGTAAGGGTATGATAAATTGTTTGAATAAGATTTTAGCCAGATTCATTTGGTACATTTGAAACAAAATATAGGCCTCATTTACAGGTCAAGCAGCTTTGTTGAATAAAATGTTTTTGTCAAAATGGATATCATTAATTAGGATACGGAAAGTGATGGCAACTATTTAGTCTAATCCATCAATCCCTCTGGCGCTACACACCATGTGGGGCTTTGACCTGCCCATGAGCACTGGATGGGCGCCCCCCTCCTGGATTGATTGATTAAAAATTTTTTTAGACAAAAATAGACAAAAAATGTATTAAAGTAAACAGAAAATAAAGAGAAAGTAACTAAGCTGATGCTGATCTTGTTTTACAGGGTAATTATTTTTATATTTTCTATATTAATTATTTTATGTATCACTGTATGTTGTGAGCCAAAAGTAGTTTTGAACATAAGTATTTTTATTATGTATATTTTTTAAGGCAAATGTGTTAAAGGACGTTAGTTCATTGTTTAAGAGTAGTCTACCGTTATCCAGTTACAGTGGAACCTCTCATAACAAGCACCTCTCATAACGAGTAATTCGCATAACAAGCAAAAAAAATGTGAAGAAGTTGCTCCCTTAACGTGCGACATTTCGGGTTACGAGTTAGGCAGAAAGGGGAAGTCCCTTTTACCCGACATTCATTTGTGAGCCGGGACTTCCGCGCTGATGCATTAGTCTGTGTTTAGCACTCGGTCCGTTAGCGTATTGTTTTCGTGTGTGATCACCAGTTTTTACAAATTTTGTATTCAGACAGTATTCGTAATTTTTTTTATGTGCAAGTGTAATAACCTGTGCTAAAATGTCTTTGAAGAAAAAACAACAAGAAGACAATCATAAGAGAGAAAAAAATAACTGTTGAAATGAAACGTAAAATCATTGAAAAGCGAGAACAAGGTGTGAGCGTGGCTAGTCTAGGGCGCACATACAATCGGTCAACATCAACTGTTGCATCGTACATTGAGAAGCATCACCATAATTAGGAGGTAGTTATTCCTGCTACAAATTTATTCAATGATAATGCTGAGAAACATTTTCTTCAAATTTTGAAGCATCGGCAAAAACAAATGTCTTTAGACAGTTTTCTAGTTAAAAGGATTAATTATTTGTCATAAATTCATATTTTTATTGACGTTTTTTGTTTCAAGTCTAAATTGTATTCCAAGTTGTTACACTCCTTAACAATTCATAAGTAATTTTATTTGAATAAAAGTTAATACAATTTTTTGAAAAATTAATATTTTTTCAGAATGGAACGCGTTATCGTATTTTACATTGATTTGTATGGGAAAAATTGTTTCATTTAACGAGTGTTTCGCTTAACAAGTAAGATTCTGGAACAAATTATGTTCATTATGAGAGGTTCCACTGTACATTGTAAACTTGTCAACTTGGATATCCGGAAATTTTTAAAACCTCTCAGACAGCCACAGCAATGGACTCCAGATGTTGAAGAAATAACGTTAACTCCTGTCTGCAAAAAACGGAAAATGGATGCTGTTGCTTGTTCATCTGCAGCAGCAATGCTATCACCAGAACCAGACCCTGACAAGCTTGAAAGTGGAGATACTAGGTTAACCTATTACATTGGACTCTATGTAAAATCTACTACAAAGATTCTTATCGATCTTAAGTATCGTTTGCTAACTGATCCATACACGCCTCACCCGTCATATGATTTTGAAGGCGACATGTCTGGAAGTGGGAAACGTTGTTTCAGGGAATCTTGGCTGACCCAGTATACTTCATGGTTATCATATTCACCTAGGTTAAAAGGTGCTTTTTGCATTTTCTGTGTTTTATTTCCGCAACCAGTTCAAAGAGGAATTCAAGGTGCCTTCATTACTACTCCTTGTACAAAGTACAAAGATTTTAATGAATGTGCCAGAAATCATATCAGCTCAGCAAGGTATTGTGGGTCTCAACAAGATGCTGAACACTTCGCGTCAACCATTAGAGATCCAAATAAGGATATTATTTGTCAGATAGATAATTCAGTAAAAAGAACTATTGAAGAAAACAGAAAGAAATTGTATCCTATTATTTCAACAATATTATTTTGCGGAACAAATGATTTGGCAATTTGTGGGAAAAGATAAAACCAAAGGAAATGTCAAACAACTTTATCCGTATCGAATTGAAGGAGGCAGTATTTTAAACATCCATGTTGATACAGCTGCTGAAAATGCACGTTACACATCACACCGAACGCAGAATGATTTTATCAAATTGTCTGAACAAGCTCTGCGAGAAGACATTGTAAAAGCTGCCAACAATGTTGTTGGATTCTCGATCATAGCAGATGAAACAGCAGATATCTCAGGAACAGAACAGTTGTCACTGGGAGTTCGGTTTGTAGATACGTCTAGTGAAAAGGCTATGATTTGTGAGGAATTCCTTGGATTTTCTCCGCTGAAAGATATGGACGCCGCCACGATATCTGATTGTATTATTCAACATTTCAAAACATTTGGTCTTCTCCTTAATAATCTGCTGGGTCCAGGTTATGAACGGTTCTCGACAGTGGCCGGAAAAGAAAATGGTGTTCAGGCAAAAATTCGAAGTATTTCCCCCAAGGCTGCCTTTGTGCCTCGCATAGACTGAATCTCGTAGTCAATGATCTTAATAATGTTGCAGTGATACGAAATACTATTGGTACTATCAAAGCAATTATTACATTTTTTCGTGAAAGCCCAAAAAGGAGGTCCTTTGTCCCAAATATTCCTCTTCTGTGTGAGACAAGATGGACAAGCAAGTATAAAAGTATTCGGATTTTGTCTAGTAAATTTGAAGATATTTATTGTCAACTGGAAGAATTGTCATTGCATGCAAGTGGAAATACATGACAGGCTGCACATCAGTTATATTGTTCATCAAAGTCCATCACGTTTTTATTTTGTCTCAATATTATTTCGCAGTACTCTGCCATACTGAAACCAGTTACTCAGGCTCTTCAAGCTGTTCAAGTTGATCTTCCAGAAGTCCAACTGCAAGTTCAAAACCTGCCCAGTGTAGTCAAACTTGACCGAGGTGATTCCGATAACTATTTCAGGGATATTTTTGAGAAAACAGTACAACTCGCACAGAAGGTGGATATTGAACTGATTATCCCAAGACAGTGAGGAAGACAAAAGCATCGAAGTAATCCGGGAAACATAAGTGTTGAAGAGTACTTCAGACAAACAGTTTACATTCCATAATTAGATTCTCTAATTAGCTCAATGGAGAGTCGATTTTATGAAGCCAACAGTGCACAATTTAACTTAGCGTTGCTACATCCTTCGAAATTGTGCAAACTGAATCGTCAACAGTTTAAGGATACAATGTCTACTATTAATCAGGTAGACCACATTGATAATTTTGAAAATGAAGCCTTGAGTTGGTTTGATTTTTGGAAAACGCAAGAATACAAAAGTAGCCAAGATTTCATCGACTTTTTTACCTTTTACAAAGTTTTATCCGTCTGTCAGGTATGCCTTACTAGTTTTGCTAACATTACCAGCAACAACATGTACGATAGAGCGATCGTTCAGCACATTATGTCGTGTAAAAACATGGCTTAGATCTACAATGTCAGATAAACGTCTGGCTGGGTTGTGCATGTTAAGCGTACACAGAGACAAGGTGAACTGCAACAAAAAAGACTTTATGGACAAAATTGTAGATATGTTTGGTAGCGATAACAGACGAATCCAGTTCTTGTTTAAAGAATAAATTTTATTTTAAATTTATGTTGTAATATTTTTTGTTATATACATATATTGTGTTAAAAAAAAATTTGTTGCTATAGTATGCCCTTCATTACTACAGTGTCCTGTCCGTTCGTTCACCATACAAATACGATACAGTAAATTAAAACTACATTAAAACATTACTAAAAATACTTTGCCCCCCCCCCCCCCCCCCCTTAGAAAATTTTCTGCGGGCGCCCATGGACCTGCCTCACTACTTCCTTCCACTGAGACCTAACTAATGCTTTTCTTTTCCATGACTAGATTCCCAGCTGCTGTAGATCTTTTTCCACATCCATTCATCTAAGCCTAGGTCTGCCTTTGGGTCGTTTTCCTCTGGGGTTTGGGTGTTTTAACCCTCTTGGCCTTCTTTCTAAGTGCCCTGCTGAGCGTAGCCTACCCTTTATTATTTATATTACTAGCGTGGGATCCTGATATAGACTGTACAATTCCTAATTGGTTCGTATTATCCATCCATATTGATCTTGTGTTGGTCCATCAACTTCCGGATAACTTTTCTCTCCCATGTGTTTTTCTGACATTTTTTTTAGGGTCCAAGTTTCACTTGCGTATATTACAACTGGTCTGATTACAGTTGTATAAATAGTTTTCTTTGTTTTTCTTGTAATGTTTTTTACTTTTGAGTATTTTCTGATTATTGAAATATGCCCTGTTTCTGGCTGATATTCTTTCTTTCATTTCTGTTAGTAATTTGTTTCTTTCATTTAATAAAGATCCTACATACAGTTGAACCTCGTTATGTCGACGGCCTCAGGGTTTGCCAAAAAGTGTCAAGGTAACCGATGATTGAGATAACCGAAAAACAATATGGCGGCAATATATCAACATGTGCTTGAAATTTCTTTATGTACTCGATGTGGGTTTATAAATGAGAATGTACAAGCACTTGTTTTTGGGTTGTTGTTTTTTTTTACACAACAACGTTACCACGATTTGTTTGATGAAGCGATCGGCATGCTATAAAAATGTACATACTTGTTTGCTAACAACACAAGGTATATGTGGGGTGCCACTTTTCCGGATTATTCCGAAATTCCGGATTCGTGAGGCTAAATATTTTTCAACTCTGAATTCGTGAGTTTTTTTATTTTCTCTCGCTCTGGATTTGCTAGTTCAGTTTATTCAAATACAGATTCTGGGTTTTAAAAAAGAATCAACATGTAAGAATGCGTGAAAGCCTGTTAAACGACAAGTGGGTTCGCTATAAATAGAACAGGTACTGCGACTCTCTCTTTTGTTTGCAAGCCTCTTGCTCCTCTCTTCTTGCTGGGTCAAGTTAATTGCACGGACAATGATATTGTCATTTCATTTCAATTACTTACAGTTTGAAGTAGGCAAATTTCACATTGCTGTTCAAAAGCAGGTGACTGGACATGGGGATTGAAAGAACCGAGATTAAGTAGCAAATTTGGCCGCCTTTTGTGCTCAAGATATCAGGGTTCGGCGACATAAAAGAATCAACATAACTGAGGAGAAAATGCTAAGACAAAGAGAGAGAATTTGGTGGTTCCACTTCAAAACGTTGACGTAACAGGGTTGGCAAGATAACCGAGGTCGAGATAAGTGGGTTCAACTGTATTGGAATTCATTTACTTTTTTAAAAGTCTGCTTTCTAATTTTAATGGCTTCATCTAACTGTTCTTTTCTTATCATAGTCATGTATTTTGTTTCTTTGGTTGTTAACTTCCAGCCCTGCTGGTAGTGATGCGTCTTCTAATTTACTCTAACCCTAACTTTAAAAATTGCATTTACTCTATTGTTCTTTAAAATTTAATTTTTAAAAAACAACAGTATATACAGATTATTTAATTTCTAATGACAAGATCTTTGCACGTGTACAGTTACTGAGCAATGTCAGAATTTTCCTAGACCAGTGGTTGGCAACCTGTGATTCTGGAGCCATTGCTCTTTGAAGGAATAGATGGACCTCTATTTTCTTTTACTATTCTATAATTTATAATGAAACTCAGCTACCAAAATGTTTTCTCTACAGATATAATTTATAAAAATCTCTCCTCACTCAAAAAATTTGCCGACCACTGTAAAAGATATTAGATTCTTTGACACAACAAGCATTAATTAATCACTTCATTTTTCATATCAAATGATAAATACTTTATTAAAACTAACATTGCAAGACACCATGATGTTAAATTGTAATTTTTTTTATACATTACATTATGATCTTAATTTTTTACTTAAATTAAACATTACTTGTATTCAAATAATTTTCAGTTTTTGATAGTAACTTGTTTAATAATAATAATTTAATAATTGTTTAATGACATTTATGTAAATATTTTTCTTGTTTTTATAGTTCCTGCACCCTCAATTGATTCTGCTGATAAAGCTACAGAACAGGCTAAAAAACTTGTACAGTCTGGGGTATGTTGATTTGTATTTAGTTTTCTCCATCAAATGTATTTTCCTTAAAATGAACTTATTTGATTATACCAAACAGCATCATTTATTTTGAATATAAATATTTAATTAATCCTACTATCATTTATATCATGTTAGTTATAATGCTGGTAGGTTGACTGAAAACTGAAAGTACTTAACTTTTTAAAAAAAAATTGAAATGAGCATGTTCAATGTCTGTCGTCCTTCAACTTACAAAATCTTTTAATACAGGCAATTAAAGTACAAAGTCAAAAGGAGAAATTTGGATTCAAGCGGTCCAAGAATTTTGAAAAAAAGAAAGTGAGTTTTTATTTTCATTCCCTTAAAACCATTGTTTGTGTTTTTTAAAAATTAATTTGTAAGTCTATCATGGACTGACAAAACGTTAAATAATTTAAGAAAATTGTCTGACATCAACTGATGGTTTCATTATGTTGAGGCATCAACTCTTTTGGTGCCGATGTTGACATGGGTCCAAAACAAGGGGCTGGGTGCTGAAGTTGACTAAAGTCAACATCTAGGGGTAGAGTGCTGCTAACAACAAAAACTGTTGATAAAATGTCACCTGGCCATTCAGTTGTGAGCCAGGCCACTAGCAGAGTTTGTGCAGCTGTGTATAGTGTAGTCTAGCAAGCTGCTTAGCATGCTATAGAAGGTACACATGTTAATTGCTTCAATTGTTCAGTCATAATTGTTTATTTTTCTAAATCCTAATTTTTGCTTGTCCCCAGGACAATGAGAAACCTCCTGGTCCAGTTGGCTTCCAGCCATTTATGGCATTTACTGGAGATGAAGAAGAGGAAAAAGCACCTGTAATAAATTGACCAATAAACACACACACACACACAAAGGGCCGGATTCACACATTTCTAAGCCCTAGGTTAAAGCCCATGATTTTGCTGCCGCCCCAACCCACCCTATAAAAAGGAGCTCATGAAATTTTTGTCCTTATTTTTAAATAAAAGGGAAGTAAATATAGTCTTCAAAAGTCATCCCACTTTAAAACATAAAACTTTTGATTCACAAAAAAACAACAACTTTTGATTCACATTTATTATATGAACCTTCCGACGGGTGTGCTTTTTCCGCATTGAGACTGGGCCCGGTGTATCAAATTGATATCACTAAAGAGTGACTGGTTAAATAAGATTATTTTATTTGAATATTGTCAAATAATTTATTCATTAAATAAGATAATAAACAAACAATATAAAATGTAAAAGTAATTTAAAAAAACAACACATTTTTTATAGCAATTAATATTATATTTGACATTTAATAATGGGTAAATGCTTTTTAAAAAAAATTGAAATAGATTACACATTACAAAGACATTACATGTATATAAAATATGAAGTTTACATATAGACTTTGTGCTCCTTCGAGTCAGCTGAGTCTGCACTAATTTATGGGATGATGTCTTTAAAAACACTTTTCTTCTAACAACAGTTTGATAAATTACACAATGAATAATTGGAGCCTTGATAATAATAATAATAATAAAGTTCATTTCAAAAACACGCTTCATCCCCAAAGGCTCGAAGCGCGGTACAAAGTCAACAAAAAAATATCTATAATTCACCACATTTAAAAAAAACGCAACACTACAAAAACTAATTACAAGCATACAATATCAAAGTCTTTCTAGCCATTTCAACCCGGAGCAACACAGCAACACATGGAAAATAAGGTAGACAATCATCCCAGAAGGTATTTGCGAAATAGATGTGTCTTTAGATCGGTTTATCATTCACAACATTTGACCATTGGCCAGTAACATAGATTTCTCCAGACGTTGTACAATTGGTCTCACATCTCTTTCATGATGAAATTTTGTGTCTTGATGCTGTCAATAGATTGATTTGTATAGTACATCACTGAACAGGCAACTCCAGCATTCAAGAGAGTTTTCAGGGCTTATAATTCCTCAAAGTTTTCTAATGAAAATGCTACTTCTCAAATGCACTCAGTTTGAAGGTTAATTCTTTGTCTTTTAAAATAAAAAAATATCATTGTCAATAGCACCTTCTACATCATCATTATCAACGTCGTCTCCTTTAAACTCTGAATCTTCATGACGAATTTCACCTGCATCTTGACTTTCATGTCAATCTCATTTTCTAAATCTTCGTCTACTTCCTTATCTCCAATAAGTATTTTTTTAATATCTTCTCATATCCTCGACTCTTGGAATTCTCAAAATCTAACATTTTCGTACCACCTTCCATGTTAGACAGCACATTTAACCTGAAATATAATAAGGATCAGTATAAATATTTTGCTTGGGCGCAATTTAGCAATTTGATATTAACTATTTAAAAACACATTATTTTAAAATAAGATAATGTACCAGAATATATACTAATATGAAGAAGGTAACTTACCAGAGTAAAAAAATAATGCAGTTGTCAAGGTTCAAAGAAGTAACTTGCAAATGCGCGGTGTATCAATGTGAACAAAACAGCCAAAATCTGCACACTGAAACTTCACTGAAAGTGTTTTGTGCACAATAAACAGTCTTGGCCGGTAAAGGAAGGAAAACATTAAACAACTTAAAAGCTGAGTGCGCTTTCATTTCTTAGCTGAGTGCGCTTTCATTTCTTAGCTGAGTGCGCTTTCATTTCTTAGCTGAGTGCGCTTTCATTTCTTATTATTAGATTACTTTCATGTGTAACGCAAAAACGGTTGGCTTGTATCAATCTGATCAGACGCGCCCGACGGAAGGTTAATTTTGATTATGCTGGCAGCAGCCATAATGATTGTTCATGGGTTAAAATCAGTTTAAAAATATAACAACAGTTTACCGAACTAGTCTCTATAACTCATAAGGGGTACAGCGATTACTTCTTTGGTTCGTTCAAATTACCCACCCAGATGTTGTTTTCCATTAACAGTTAATAAAATTGACATATTATGTGTATAACTGGCTAAGTGTGCAAGAGATTTGAAAGCTCCAACCTAGTTATTTAGAAGACCTAGTTATTTAGAAGACCTAGTTATTTAGAAGACCTAGTTATTTAGAAGTCAGAACTATACTTTCCTGTCGTCAAAAAATTAACCCAGTTCCTGAATTTTTTAAAATTCAAAACTTTGTGGTTCAGTTCTGATCAAGCCAAGCTCTATTTAAGGAAATAGTTGAATTTTATTCAATTTCATTATATGAAATTTTTATTATAGAATACCTACATAAAATATAAAATATTTACATCGATTCTCATTTGAGATTGTATAATTTTATTGAAATCTTTTTTTTGCATTGTGTCAAACATACATAACACCACATTAAATGATGCTACACAAACAAGCCATAAGTTGTGCATGTTTCAAGTTTTGGTATAATAGTATCAGTGCGGTGTGTGTCCCCCCCTTTCAATCCTTTAGGCTGTCACCCCTGTAAACCTTTCACCGATTTCTCCTTAGGTCTTATTTATTTATTTAGGCATTTAGGCATTTTAGCGCTTACCTTACAGCTCTAAGGGCTTTACAATTATTACAGTATGTAAGAAGTGTTAACGATATATTTAACAAAACTACTATCAATAGAGATATAGAAGTCAAGCAATGTGAGAGTAATGAAATATAGGGCTTAATTTATTTAACGCATATGGATGTAAATTAAAAAATAATACTGAACAATCTTGTAATTATTTTCTTTCTTATTTATATATGCCCCCTGACTACTACTGCGCCCCATGCCATGGCCTAATGGGGAATCCGGCCCTGCACAAACACACAAAAGTGCTACATTTGTCTCCTTATAACCAGTCTCGACCTTCTCTACCAGTCTGGCAATCTATTTTTTCAATTGAAATTCTTGATACAAGTACCGGTAACAAGTTATTTTTTTATGGTATTATTTCTACTGTTGGGTCTGCTGCTTGGGTGTCCACCTTAATGTAGATCATTGAAGGTCAATGGGATTGTTCATCTCATTATTGTGTCATTTCTTAAAGTTATAGCTGCTACTACTATTGTATATCTCATGATTCTGCACTGTCTGCTTTCAGCCGTCAAAGAGAGTCAAAGGCCTTAACGAGAGCTTTGTATCTGCTGGTTTTGGAAAAAGTAAGAATTTTTTTTTTATTTTATGAATATGTTTTCAAAAATAAAGGATGTGCTCGGTGTAAAGACTCACTTAATGCTTCATCACCTGGCTGAGCTCACTTAATGCTTCATCACCTGGCTGAAATGCTTCATCACCTGGCTGAGCTCACTTAATGCTTCATCACCTGGCTGAGCTCACTTAATGCTTCATCACCTGGCTGAGCTCACTTAATGCTTCTTCACCTGGCTGAGCTCACTTAATGCTTCATCACCTGGCTGAGCTCACTTAATGCTTCATCACCTGGCTGAGCTCACTTAATGCTTCATCACCTGGCTGAGCTCACTTAATGCTTCATCACCTGGCTGAGCTCACTTAATGCTTCATCACCTGGCTGAGCTCACTTAATGCTTCATCACCTGGCTGAGCTCACTTAATGCTTCATCACCTGGCTGAGCTCACTTAATGCTTCATCACCTGGCTGAGCTCACTTAATGCTTCTTCACCTGGCTGAGCTCACTTAATGCTTCATCACCTGGCTGAGCTCACTTAATGCTTCATCACCTGGCTGAGCTTATGTTTCTTGAATAGCTTAATGACAGGGCTATTCAAACACAACTCATGGACATTTTTATAGTTTATCTTGTAATTAAATGTTGGCTGCATTTAAATTCCCTTGGTGGATTTCATTAATCCCCTTGGTGGATTTCATTAATCCACTTGGTGTATTTCATTAATCCCCTTGGTGGATTTCTATTTCATTTAACTTTTTGTATTTAAAAAAAAAATGTTTTAATAACCATTGGTAACATTTAAAAATCAACCAAACGAGGAATTACAATAATTATCCATTTTGTTTATTGTATTTTTATGCCACAGAACTTGATGCAAGGATTTTGTTGAATAAGTCGAACTGCAAAAAGTACATGATAAATTTAACAACATCACCCCAACATATTCTTAAATTTATGACAAACTGGTACAATCATCTGATAATATCTTCACAACTTTAACCCTGCAGGAAGTTATGACCGCCCAGAGCGAGATCACAGGGAGCCACCAAAGAAAGGCCCCACGGTCTATGTTCACGGAGAAGGCATCACTGAAGACATGTTGAAGAAATCTTTCTCGAACTTTGGTGAAATCCTCAACATCAACATGGAACCTGAGAAAAAGTAAGGGGAGAGAAATTGAGATCTTTATCAGGGTATCTTTTAGTATTTTGCTTCTGTAGAGCAGTTGTTCCCTACCTATTTGACTCGTGGAGCCCTTTTTCAAATCAATTCTGTTCTATGTCATGTCATACAAGACAGTGTCTACTCTATGTCATACAAGTGGATAGAGTTTAGGTGTTCATTTTATTTCCACAGAGCCTCTCAGAAGAACACTTGTAGCCTTAAGACTCTGTACAGAATTGCATCAAATGTGAAAGAAATTTTATATATTTACAATTTATAAAAAAAATATATGTATCATCCCCCCCCCCCCCCCACCCCCCATATGTCATAAAAGTGGATAGAGTTTAGGTGTTCATTTTATTTCCACAGAGCCTCTCAGAAGAAAACTTGTAGCCTTAAGACTCTGTACAGAATTGCATCAAATGTGAAAGAAATTTTATATATTTACAATTTATAAAAAAAATATATGTATCATCCCCCCCCCCCCGCCCCCTCTCTTTAGATATTTAATTATTTAATTTCCTATAAAACTATTAAATTTCAAGACATTTAACGTATGCATGATTTATTTATTTAGGCATTTTTGTATAGCGCTTACCTTACTGCTCTAAGCGCTTTACATTTATTAAAAATATGTAAACTATTTAAACTGCTAAAGTAAAATAAAAATGAAAAACCACAGACACTAGAATAGTAACTACAATGTGAAAAATGACTATAGAAACAATAGCTTAAACATTAAAATGGCTATAAAAATTAGAACACATTGGCACGTTTGGCCTATACTACAGGATCAACCCGAGACAGAAAATGAGGCAGGGCAAGGAGGGTGCATCACAGGTCATAGACGGACCTAAACAGATGGGTTTAAAGGGACTTTTTGAAAGTGGACGAGGTTTCACAATGACGGATGTGGAAGGGGAGCTGGTTCCAAAACGTGGGCGCTTGGAAGTAGAAGGAGCGTTCACCGATGGTCTTAGTTTTGGTTCTTGGGATTGAGAGGGTTCTATTGTCAATTGAAGAGCGTAGTTGTCTTGTGGGGATGTAAGGAAGCAACAGTTCAGAGAGATAGACAGGAAAGTGAGGGTCAGTGAACGAGTTGAAGCATAGATTGGCAGACTTGTACTTGATGCGAGAGGATATTGGAAGCCAGTGGAGTTGCCGCATGTGTGGTTGAATGTGGTCATGTTTCTTTGATTTAAAAATGAGTCTGCATGCTGAGTTCTGTGCCTTCTGAAGTTTGTCTATGTGGTGTTGAGGAATGCCTGCGAGAAGAGTGTTACAGTAGTCAAATTTTGAAAGTATGAGTGAAGAGACGAGAGTTTTTTTGGCATCAAAGGAGAGGAGGTGTCTAATGGTGCTGATTTTTCTAATTTCGTTGTATGCTGATCTGCATATGTTCATGACATGTTTGTCCATGGAGAGGGTGTCTGTAAGCGTGACTCCAAGGTTTCTGGCAGAGGAAGAGAGTGTGATGTCAGAGTTGCCGATAGATATAGAAGAAGGAGTGGATGGAGGGAGAGGTTCGTTTTGAGAGTGGATGAGAAGGATTTCCGTTTTATCATCATTTAGCTTCAGTTTTTCGCAAGTCATCCAACGCTTTACGTCGTCCATGCACTCCTGTATGCGAAGGATTGTGGCATCAAGTTGATCAGGAAAGCAAGAGTCACTCATTTGAGTGTCATCACCAAAGGATTGACTGGAAACTGAGTGGTGGCTAATGAGAGATGATAGAGGTTTAGTGTAGAGGATGAAAAGGACCGGCCCAAGGACCGATCCTTGAGGAACTCCAATAGACAGGGCTGAAGGTTTGGAAGAGCGGTTGAGTTCTGTCAGAAAGATAAGATTGAAACCAGTTTAAAGCTGAGCCAGTAAATCCGAAAGAAAGATGAAGACGGTCAAGAAGAATCCAATAGACAGGGCTGAAGGTTTGGAAGAGCGGTTGAGTTCTGTCAGAAAGATAAGATTGAAACCAGTTTAAAGCTGAGCCAGTAAATTCAAAAGAAAGATGAAGACGGTCAAGAAGAATCTGGTGGTCAATGGTATCAAATGCAGCAGAGAGATCTAACAAAGTGAGAATAGAGAGTTTGCCACTTCAGATGGTCCTCACAAAACATGATGCATTTCTAGTAGTGGTTTTCTAATGATATGTGTAACGGACAATGTTTTCACATGAAAACAGAGAGGTAGCATGAGTGAACAGTGAATGGTGTTGACCATGTTTTGTCCACGAGGACAATGAATTGTATTTTGAGAGGACAATGTGAGCTCCACGTTTTTGGAGAGTAAAATTATGTTTTTGTCAGAGCGGTTGTTTTCCACGCTTTGCTGGTAATAAAGTATGAGTTGACTGATATAGGGAGAGCTGAGCGCAGAGCAGTAGAGAACAGTAGAGCTAGGAGAGCTGTGTGATTAGACAGTTGAGCTGAGTTATAGTAGTGTGAGGACGTGTCTTTCTGAATGATGGAATAATACTATATATATATGTGAAATTACATTCATGCAAGGATTATCATTAATATTATCAGTATAAAGTGTGTTCAATAAAGTACTGTGAGTTTTAACCAGAATTGAGTATTCTTCTTTACGTGCCTGGATAATAAGTGAAAGAATGAAGAAGACTTAGTCGGCATCCTGAAGTATTAACATAACATAAGTAACCATACTACTGACATAACCCAGCATAAGAAATAAGATCCCACGCCATGTCAGAGTAGATGTGTTATAATATGTATTCCACAGTTTTTCAAGGGTTATATATTTTTGTTGTTAAAAGACAAGAGACCTATTTATATTTGTCATCATCATCTTTAGTTTTTTTTGTTTTTTTTTTAAAATTAAGTAGATTGCAAATCTTAAAGGTGAAATAGAATTTTCTTTAACTGGATTGTATACTGTAGTAAAATAGACTACGATCGGGCTGTATTTAATGTGGACCCAACGAACAGATCAGGACGTATTTTAAACAATATATATTTTTTACTCTAAATGATTAACTTTATCATATATCTTGCAGTAGTGCCTTCGTGACCTTCCAAAGTGTTGACATGGCCCAACAAGCCATAACAGGGGTGAGCCTAAAATAAGCCCTAAGATATATTTATTTTTTAAACATGGTCAAATATGTTAAAACAACACAATTAAATAACAAATAGATGCCAGTATACATGAGAGCAAGACCAGGACACGTAGATCTAATCATGCTATAATAAAAAAAATAGATGCTTATTTTTTAGGACAATTTGACAGCGGTTTTTGCAAATAATTTTAAAACAAATCTTTTATAGTTAAATGGCAGCAAGCTGAACAACAGCCTGCTGCGTGTAGAGATGGCCAGGAGACAGCCGGTGTTTGATGCCACTGCCGAAGATTCCTCATCCTCAAAGTGGGCCAGCATAGGTTTGTATATAATTTTGATTAGTCGATTTTTATAAAAAAAATACATATACTATTTCCTGATTCTTGTTTTATCACATTTGAAATAATAAAAAATTGTAGTTGGATTTTTCATTAATTATTTCCGCCATCGTAATTATTCATTATCAAGTTCCTCAATGGGAAACATTTATAATATAATTAACTTTTAAATGTGTTCAATCTCGTTCTGGTCTTGTGTTTACATCAAAATTAATTTCTATGTTTGTTCCAGCTGCCAACAATTCTCAGAAGGGGACCCCTCACAAAGATAACAGAGCTGTGGTCACCTATGATGAGAGTGATATGTTCTAAACAAAAAATATGCTCAGGACCAGTGTGGCATAACAATAACAGGCACCTTAAGTGTGTGGGGTGGGGTTTGGTTGAAGCTATCAACAGAGAAGCCATATTGTCTACAATGTTTTAAATTAATGTCCAATTTTTGTTTCAAATGAAACACTAAGATTGTTAAAAAGACTGCCACCACCAGGTATGGAATTGCCCTTCTACTTCTACACCACCACCCCCACATGCACACACACATGCCCTTCATTTTGGTTACTTCCCCTGGACTATAAACAATGTACAGGACATATTTGCAATGTTTTTGAGTTCATGGCTTCTATATTATGTTAATCATTTCATTCTCTTATTAACTTTAATGCTGACTCTGTGAGCAGCAGGAACTCTTTATGTATTTCACATATTTTTCCATTCTTTATAAACCTCACTTGAATGATTAGATTTATGTCAAATTAATGTAATTGTCCATGAATTAACAGTGAACCTCAAATTCTTGAGATGACTTTTAGATTTATTACACTATTTTTTTATTTTTAACATCCCTAAAGTTTGAGGAAACCATTAAAATCTTATTTGCTAAAATTCATAAAAATAGTTTTAAAAATATAACATTTAAAACAAATAATAATTTATTTTTTTTAATTCATTAATTTTTTTAACTTTTAACAAATTGATAAATGAAATCTTCAGAAAATTGAGAAAATCTTTCTTTAAAATTTAAAAAAAAAATGTGTTTGAGAAACATTGATGTTGAATATTGTTGTAGAATATTGTTGAACCTATTGATACTGAGTAACAATAAAAGATGTTAATGATGTCAGAATTTTTTTTAATTTTTTTTTTATATATATTAGTTTAATTTCTGATTGTTGGATTTGTAAATTTTAGTTTATTTATAATTTATAGACATAACATTGGTTGTTTTTAATCTGATCACTGCAGGGCAAAACATAATATCTTACAAATCATACAGTTTCAAGCTCATATGGGTGGGCCTGATTTTATGTTGTATGTCAGTTCTCTGGTACAACTTTGGCATGTTCTATGTCAGTACCTTGAAACAACTTTGACATGTGGTTGGTAAGTCAGTTCTGGTTCAGCTGCAAAACTTTAAAATAAATAACTACCCAGTATCTTAAATAATTTATTTTGACCTCCTACAACAAGCAAGTTTTAATTTACTCAGTTTTGAAAAGCTAATTTCCCCACTGTAATTAATCAATGGGGTGGAGTTTTAAAGTAGTTAATATATATTCACAGTTGAAAATGTCAAATATAATAGACGTTATATCTCAGATAATGGTTGTTTCTTTATTCTTTAAATCTTCAAATGACGAGTCTAACACAAACTATACACAAAGGAATTTACTGTATACCTATATTTTTTTTAAAAGATTCGTATTATCATCAGCAATGCTATACATGTACTGAATATACAGTAGATAGTCGTCTCAGGCGATTTTCCTACCCATTTTTGTATACCTGGTGTTTCTGGTAACAAATGGTTCGGATAACCGAACAATTCCCACAGAAAGGTTGCGTCAGCAAGAAAAAATTTAAAAAAGTTTGTGCAGGTAATATAACATATTCTGACTTAATATTTATGAAAGTGTGGTGTATTATTGCAAAGGTTCCAAATCTATGCTCCGCGGACAACTGTTGCTCCGCGAAGCCACTTCACGGTACCAAGTATTCCGCGAAAAAAAATAAATACAGGAATAAAATTTGTTGAAAAAGAAACATTAATACAATGTAAAATTATTTTTGTATGAGATTTTAATTAGCACACGCGAATGAGTATTAATTTTTTTTTTTTTCATTTTAACTTCGGTGTGCCTGTGCAGTTCACATGTGAATACTGAACAGTAAATGTGGTTTATTTCGCTGATTTCCAGTATCGTTTCGATTTTTTAAATTAAATAAAGTTACGTGGACAAGTCGTCTGACTGACTCGGTGACTGGCTCATGTGGGTCAAGATTCGAGGCTCTGCTTAAGTTTAAGTTTAAAGTTGCCTGGGACATTGTACGTCGATGACAAACTGGTTTGTTGTTCTAGATTATTACTCAGCTCTTGCTTACTTTAATACTGTCAGTATAAGTATGCAAGGAAACAGCGAAAATGTTGTTAACCTCGAACTCGAATGACAAAATATGATGAATATTGGCAATGAAAAAAAACAAAAAAACACCTCTCACTACGGAAGAGTCAAGTAAGAGAAACAAACACTGATCATTTTTTTAATAATCGAACATTTAACAACAATAGAAAAAATATTTTCCACAGTTTAACATTAGACTAATTCACTGAACAGTATGAAAAAATCCGTTTGCTTCTTCCGCCTTCCCCAGTTTTACTCTGAATGAAGGACTGACGTCACGCTATTCAGATAGTGGATTAAAATAGAATTTCATTGAAAATCCTCCTGAACATTTTTGAATCTCTGTTAAAGATGAAAACCTGGGACTAACCACAAACTCCACTTTATATTTTGGCGAAGCAGAATTTTCAAAAATTGTTAATTCTTACAATTTTTAGCTTCTTAAACCCAAGAAACTAAGAGTAAGAGTGCCTGGTAGAGTAGATTCGAGTGGCATTATATTATCATTATCTCATTTCATTATCATTTATTCGTCCCAGCATTGCTGAAAACTGCAAAAATCATCATGGCACATTGATGGCATTTAATTTGAGAATTTGATTTTAAAGAATTGTAATTTTAAGTAATTTTAAAATAAATATGTTTGCGTCAAACAATATCGGTATGAGTATGTGATCGTTTATAAAAATAACACTTAAAGTAAGGGTGGCCCAACACTAAGCTTTGAATTTTTTGGGCTGACCATACATACAATACAACATACAATACAACCTACTTACAATACAACCTACTTACAATACAACCTACTTACAATACAACCTACTTACGATACAACATGCTTACTATACAACCTACTTACAATACAACCTACTTACGATACAACATACGTACAATATAACATACTTACAATACAACTGTTACAACATAAGCTTTAATTTAGCAGCGCTGAAGCCTTTTTCAAATCAAGGTCGCAATATGTTTATGAAAATAACGTAATACTGTATTGTAAGTTATCCACCTCCCAACCCCCCTCCCCCCAAATCTATAAAGAAATCAGATTTTATTGTTCCCTGAAATAAAAAAAAAGATTGAGAACCTTTGCATTGATAGTGCAATGTATTAACTACTATTTACCATACTTTGCTGTCGTTTCCAAAAATTGATGAGTGGCGTTTAGAGTAAAATTAGGTCACTTGACCTTTCCAGGAGTAAATTCTGCGACATACCGTAAAGTTGTATAGTGTAGTTACTAGTATGGGGCGCACTTTGTATAATTAATGTATAATTTGTTTAAAATTAAGTGTGCGTCTCACAAAAGTAATGTTGCAGAAAAAGTTTGACATTTGTATTTTTTATAAAAGCACCGAACTTAAAGGGTGCGGCTTCTAATGAGGAGCGGTTCAATACTGAGAGCAATTGGTTACATAGACATAGAGTTTAAATATCCCTTATCTCAGTCTAGCAGCTGCATGCATAGAGTTGGTATCTAGAATTTATCTGTACTGTGCGATAGGGACCAGAGCAGATTTCCCGTGTTTGTAGGGAGATGCTCCGTACCAGACCCATTGCCTAAGAAATAATAATAATATTTATAGAAAGCGTGGACAGTTTGGATAACCTAACTTTAGGATAATTGGGTTTCGCAAAATCGACGCTCTACTGTACTAGGGTACTGAATATTTGCCAAGGCAAAAAAAAAAAGGGGGGGGGGTTCAGCAATTTTGGTAATTCTCCCATAGGTGAGTTTGGATAACCTAACTTTAGGATAATTGGGTTTAGCAAAATCGACGCTCTACTGTACTAGGGTACTGAATATTTGCCAAGGCAAAAAAAAAAAGGGGGGGGGTTGCGCAATTTTGGGAATTCGCCCAGAGGGGTGGGTATTTAGTCAAGTTTTGCCACTGCCAACAAAGGAAACCATATGGCAAGAAAATTATTGAAAATCAAACGATGACATATGGAAGCATCTACCCCGTATTCGGGGTCCCTTGAGACTAACGGGTCCTTGACTTTGACACAGTGCCCACCTTGCCTTTTATAATTTATAGATAACACTGTTTCGACACTTCACTGTTGTAGCCTAGGTAACTTCTGTTGCAGAAATTATCTATGCTGCTTTCACGTCAAACTATTTTTATGTTGAATGAAAGTTTTTATTTTTCCGGCCAATGTGTTTACAAGGCTAGACGATGATGTCATTGGTGTTGTTATTGTTATTGTAGTAGACTGCAGAATCATTGTTGGAGGTTTCCGTCTACGTCACAGTCACAATGGGAAGGTAAACAACGCGACTCAGCCAATAGTAATGCTGTATTTAATCAGACGGGGAAAAAAATTTTCAACACGTCTAGGATATTAGTCATTTTTCTAAAAATAGTTACAGTCGAAGTTGAACACGCGATGGCTTGTGCTGTGATTGTCTGCACGTTAACGATCTCTATGCCTCTATTGCTTCTACACACGACATGACTAGACTGTTGACGACGGCCTACTGACAGTCTGCACTCTGTGTTGGAAGTGGTCCAGAAAGTCGAGAATCCCCCGTATTTAATGTTTACAGCAACTGCTTAAATAATTCATTCAACATTTCCGTAGGTTAAGAACTGGGATAAATAAAAGTACAGGGGCGCAAGTCCGTACATTGATAGTAGGTGGGGGTGGGTGTAAAAGGAGTGGGGGTCAGAGGCATAGTCAAGGGGGGTGGGGGTGGGGGACAAGTTTCCCCGGGCGCATGACTATTGAGGGTGCCAAAATAGGCTTTGGTGGTAATTTGTTCAAGAAATTAATTGGTTTCAGAGTTAAGGGGGCGTAAAAATGAAATTTTTCCATGGGCGGCAAACACCCTGTGTGTTGTATTCATGAAGTAAATAAAAACGAAGTATGAAGACGATTTTTAAAGTGCGGGGCAGATTCAGGCTATACCAAGGGCGCGATGTTCTCTTCACATTGTACTCTCGGGGCACTACAAGTACCAGGGGGCTATGTTTATCTTTGTTGTGGGTCGCCTCAACTTCGCAAAAGTTATCCAAGGGTCGCCGCACTAAAAAGGTTGAGAACCCCTGATGTACATTGATGACCATAATGAGAACACTATTGATTATACATACATGTATTTTGACGACCGCTGTAAGAATGACACCAATTCCCCACACACACACCCAACGTGACGCATGAAGAATATCTCCTGTGATTGCTCTTTGTCCCGACTGTGCTCTATGTCGTCATTAATCACGCCACCTGTAAGTCAACTGCGGTTGGGGTGGGGGGGGGGCTGATTGGGAGTGGAAAGAAGAGATGTGTCGTCTGCAGGTGGACGTTTGCCTTGTGTTTTACATTCATAAAACCCGACTTTTGTTAACTTCACTATGTAAATGTGTTTTTTCTTTCTTTGTTTTATTGTAAACTTTTTGAATCAAGCTCTGGTCCACTCAGTTTCGATACATTCGATTACACAGGTTATCTTCACTACATCGCATTAAGGACCCCAACCCCCCCCCCCTCAACCCCCTCCAAGGTCAATATCAGTCAATAGTGTTAGTAATGCCTTTGTCCTTTCCTCGACCCTAATCCCTTATCACTGTATCAGCCTCGTACTCCGAGGCATTCTGCTTGGACTTCCTTAGACACCGATACCTCACATTTGGTGGTACACATAAGTTAAACCCTCGGCAAAGGGAACAACACGGCGAACACGCCACAATGACACAACGCCAATCACATG